GCTCACCTCAGCGGGCAGGGCCAGGAGGGGCGGCGGTGAGCCCCGCGGGGCGAGGAGAGGACAACGTGGGACAGGAAGTGGCCTCAGCGCACCAGCAGCTTCCCCAGGGTTATTTGTAGAGAGCGCACAGGGCTGGAGGAGGAGGGGAGTGCGTGGGGTGGTTTTCCAGCTCCCGGGGGAAATGTCCCTGCACTGGGATGAGCGCAGAGAAAGGCACCACCAAAGCGCCTGCTGGAACGCCCGCACCGGGCTGGCACCCTGCTCTTGTTCGAGGTGGGAGTCACCCTCACCGAAGCCAGCGGTCAATCGGTAGCCTACAGCAGCTGGAAGAAGATGACAAGTAGCTTCCATTTGATGCGATAAGGGAGAAGCGGGGGGCAACGTGGTGAAAGTGGCGATCTGGTCTTGCCAGAGCACTCGGAATGCCTCTGAGCATCCACTCAGCAAGGTCGCTTCTGGGAATGCAGCAGCAGGCAAAAGCAGGAGCTTCCATGGGCAGTGGGCACGAGTCCTCGCTCTGGGTGGTTATACTCTGTTGTACTCTCAGTGGTGCTCACTGTCCGCAACATCCTTCCATTGTTAATTCAGCAACAGCAGCTTTCCATGCAGAACTAATAATTAGCTGAGCTTTTACATCACCACTCGGCTGCCTGCACAGTCACATTAATTTTTAAACAAATAGTCGGTGAAAGAGCCTACAAATGCAGGGGCCACATTCTTCACTGGGGAAAGCAGGTGCTGCTCCTCTGAACACAGTGAAGTGACAGCCACGAACAGTGGAGTGGGATTTGATGTTATTATGTGTGAAGCCTGGGCTGCGCATCAGTTGCGCTTTTTTGCCCTTGCCAGTGGCTGTGCCTTTTCCCGTGTATTAGTTCATTCTTTGTGTTTGTATCTAGATCCAGAGTGGGCTTCTTACAAACTTGGAATATTCATTTGTTTGAATTGCTCTGGAATCCATCGCAATCTTCCTCAAATCAGCAGGGTCAAATCCCTTCGGCTTGACTTCTGGGAGAACGATCTTACAGAGGTACAGAGGAAAAAGCAGTACTTCACTTACTTTTCTCCACATTTCATCACAGCCTCCTCTGCCTTGTAATTCTTACGTTGTCCACCATGGACAGAGGAACAAAACCACACAGAGCCAAGTTAACTCCATGGGTAACTTGAGGGTTTTTTTTTTACATAACTCCATGGGTAACTTGAGGGGTTTTTTTTTACAATCTACTCAATCGAATTACACTACTAGGTGATCATGTTTCTAAAAGCCTGCAGGGTATTTTTTTTTATAGCACACAGTAACTCGTCATTGTGGTTTAGAAGCACACGGATACTTCCAGATAGTTTGTTCTATTCGCTAATCAACACACTCTTCTTAAATATGGGTTCTCTCATCTTTCAATTGAATTGTGTTAATAACATAATCACAGTTAATGTCTAGGAGGAGATGAAGGTATAGGGAGATCGTAAATATATTTTCTCCTAATTTTCTTTTTTCTTCTAATCAACAACCATAATCTTGTGTTTTTTCCCATCTGGTTCAGCGCTGTAAATACTGAAAAAGGCTCAGCCACCTAAAAAGTGCCAAAGGGAATTTATAAACCTATGTAGAGATGCACTGAAAGTTACGGTGAGACTGAGCAAAAAGTTCAGTGCTCCCTTTGATACAAGTGTCGGTTTATGTTCATGGCACAGTATTGATTTTGTAGTTGCACACCTAACTAACTTCTTTTGTATTTCAGTTTATGAAGAAGCATGGGAACCTCTGTGCCAAAGCTAAATATGAGGCGAAAGTCCCTCCCTACTATTACATCCCTCAGTCCTGCGATTGCCTGTAAGTTGATGGTGTATTTGCTGCTGCAGACCTTTACAGCTATTGAACTACTGCTTCCCTCTACAGGTCTCTTTGGGTTGGTTGGTGAAAATAGAGTAGAGGCAGATCAGCTTTATCCATGTTTTCCTCTTTCAGGGTTTTAAGAGAGCAATGGATTAGAGCTAAATATGAGCGTGAGGAATTTGTTGCCACCCGAGTCTGCCAAGATCCTTGTTCTGCAGGTAAAAGTTAGGATTGTCAGGGAAAAGGTGTTAGCCTTAAGGCCAACAGCACAGTGTTATGTTTGCAACTTTGAAGATCTTTAGGGTTGGTTTGTTATACTTGAACTGTTGGATATGCAGGCCTTGCTTTGAGTCTAACTTTGAGAAGAAGCTCCTAAGAAAAGGCACTTAGACAAGTGCAAGGGTGTATTCGGATCTTACAGTTCTCTAGTTCTCCACTGATTTTTTCATATGAGGTAAAAATTCTCAGATGGAGAAGAGACTTGAAACTGTGCCACATCACCATTTAGATAAACAGTCCTGCTATTGTGCTGCCCTTCTCTGACCCTTATCTTGGTCCAATCTGCAGGTAGCCGTGAAGGATTCCTCTGGAAGCGTGGGCGGGAAAGCAGACAGTTCCAGAAGAGGCGATTTCTCCTATCAGCAAGGGAAGGGGTGATGAAGTACTACATCAAAGAAGTGAGTTCCTCAGCCAGAGTTGGCCATAGGTAGCTGGTCAGCGCCTGTCCACAGACTCTGCTCTTCACCAGCAAGAAACAGCATAAATAGCTATGTCACTAGTTTTGCAGCCAGGCCAGCCTGTGTTTGGAGCAGCCCAGATGTTTCCCCATTAACATATGTGGTATCTTAGGCAATTGCTCTTTCGGATTTGGCCCTTTTCCTCATCCCTTATCTTAACCCTGCAGCCTTCTTTTGCTTAGTGAACAAAGGAAATGAATACTGCCAGTTGAATGGCAAGATGAAGAAGAGATCTGTCAGCAGCTGTTACTTTTTATATTAGCAAAATATTCTCTCGTCAACTGCTGCAGCATCATCCTCAACATGCCTCCCTTCTGTGGGAGAGTGTAGCTAATTGTTCTCCAGCTATGAGGCTGGAGACAGAACCCACCCCTGGCAATTCAGACACATCCCTCTCAAATAGTGACCCAGCATTTGTCAAGGGAGGAGAGTCGCTCTTTGTAAGTCATTTTATGGAGCATGTAATTAAGGCTTTATATTTCAGGTAGATCCAATATTCAGATATTTTAGGATGTCTGCTTTCTTTTTAGTAGGGATCTAGTTCTCATACAGCGAATCTGTCCTCCATCACCTTCCCTGAGAGCCCTTTAATGAAGTGATGGTTTTCATTTCACAGTCCAGAGGTCCAAAAGCCATTATCAACATTGAGAATCTGAATGCAATGTTCCAGACAGAGAAAATCCAACACGCTCATGGGCTGCAGATCACGTACAACACAGATGGTCAAACAAGGAACCTTTTTGTCTATCACGAAAGTGGAAAGGTAAATACCACAGAGATTTTTGAATAAGCAAGATGCTTAGATGTTGGATCTATATTTTGGAAGAGATACCCTGTTTCTGCAGGATCTGGTTTTATTTGGAGTCACTATGACTTGTAGAATATAGAAAGTTGCAGAATTTGACACTAATAACTATAACATATTGTTCGTGTTCTATTGGGGCATATATTCAACTTCACACCCTGAATAGTCTTAAGGCCTCAGTGGGGCACATGTGTAAATCTCTGTAAGGTAACTGCCTAACCATTTTATACAATTCTGTGGTTATATTCTTTGAAGCCTTCCTGGCATGTGTAGAAAATATTGTTGTTCTGCATTATTTCCAAGCAAACAATGGTAATTTTAAAAAGTATGTCTACAGGGTTTGTTAGATTTTTGTTTCTTCCCTTGCCATAGTTCTCATGTCTTTCTAGGTACAAAGGTTTTTAAACAATCCATAACTGAAACAACTGGAAAAGCCTGTGTACACAGACTTGGGTGACTGTCCAAGCTCAGAATGTCTGGGACCTCCCTGGAGGGACATTTTTTAATTATTTTGGAGGCTCAGTGTTTTTCAGGTGTCTGGGACAAGTCACTGACTCTCTCTGCCCCTTGGGGAGAAAGTATATCTTTGCAAAAAGGTCACAGGGAAGGAAAAAGGCATTTTGGAGGGGCAGCAGTTTTACTCCTTCTTGTTACTCTTATCTTTATGTTTGTATTTGCTCTTTTCCCAGGAGATTGTTGACTGGTTCAATGCCATTCGGGCAGCACGTTACCATTATCTCAGAACAACCTTCCCAACTGTCCCTGAGCCTGAGGTGAGAATTGAACAGGGCTTGAAGCAGTCTATGCAAACATAGCATGGGAAAACATTTTCTCACTTCTGCCAGAGTCAGGTGCTCAAACAGCAGCATATGGGTCTTGGGAATGGACAGAAGAGGTAGAAGGAAAGGCCACCCTGGATAACATGCAAAAACATAGTAAACATTTAAGGCCTAAAAGTCTCCATGTAGTCCTTATAAAGTGTAATCTTTCAAAAACCTTATGTTCCTTCTTATTTCAGACTTCCCTTTACTGAGCAGCCAAAAAAAACCCCAGGCCCCAAAAGCCAAAATTGATGGTGATTAGCTTTGACAGAAACAGAACAGAAAAGCAAGCTTGAATGAGACAGAATTTTTTTTGTGTTTGTGTTCTCCTAGCTCATACCCAGGATCACAAGAAATTATGTCAAAGAAGGATATATGGAGAAAACAGGACCAAAAGTAAGTTACATACTTGGCAGTACACAAACAGGATTATTCCAGGTGGAGAATATTTGATAATTCTAGGACATTTACTAGTAAATGTTTTGTTGAGTGACTATATGCTTCCTGGGTTGACAAAAGACATTATGTTCAAGCTGCTCATGTTCTTTGGGATCATGTTTTATTTTGTGTGGAAAATAAGACTGGGAAGAAGAATCCTCTTTGAAGAGTAAGCAAGTTGGATTAGCTGGCAGTGGACATGCAAAGTACCATTACGCAACACTAGATTGATTGCTGTAGCTGCTAACTGCAGCTCTAGAACTGCAGCTCCTGCTAGAACACATCACATGCTGACTCCCCTACTTCCCTGTTTCTCTTGAAAGTCAGTAGCACATAAGTCACATCTGCTTTTACAGAAAAGTATGACTGAGCAAATTCTCCACAGTGAAGACCATGGTTTGGTTTGGTTTTTGTGGGAAAGTATTTGGGCCATTACTCCTTGGAACAGGAGAGGGAGATTTCAGGCTCCGCTGAAGGAGATAAAGATCCGAGGCTTTGTTTGAACATTACCACTTCTTGCCTTGCTGTTTTCTGAGTGAGCCAAAGTCCCACTAAAAAGTTCAGTGGTCTAATGCTGGCCTTGAATATGCTGGGGTTTTGGCCCAGCGCAGTGGTAGTGGCCCAGTACATTTTCCTGCAGGTACTTACACACAGAGAGAATACTCACAGCTACAAGCATGGAAGATTGTGTGGTTTTTCTCCTGAGGCCTAAATTCTTCTCAAACTGAAGTGAGCCTTAGAAGAGGACCCTTCAGTTCAGCACAGAGCAATTAATAGCTCAAGGAATGGTCAGATGAGTGTAGTTGATGGAATTAGCACTTTTTAAAAAACCTATTATTTGTCCCTACCATGGTACATCCCGCAATGCTAGGGACAACCCCCCAAACCAAAATGCTGAAATTGATTGCATGCTGTCCTCATTATCACCTCTGGCCCAGGGATCATTCTCTGCAGTGCTTTCAATTAATCCATTTGCTGCAACTTTCTTAATCCTGGTAATTTGATCACTGGTAGAACCAAACTTCCCTGCCTTACCCAAAGGATTGTCACTGAATGCAAACCTCTAGTGTGAACCCCGGGAGAAGGGAGCTGAGGGCTGCACACAGCAGGGACTCACCTGTTACCAGTCAGGGGGCTGAATGAAACTGAACTCAAGCTCTGAGTCATTTAAGCAGTCCAGGGATCTGCCTTGAATAGGCTGAACTCCCCTTTGGGACTTGGTCTTTAAAGAACTTCTACCATCTCCTTGCAGCAGAAAGAGGCCTTTAAGGTGCGCTGGTTCTGCCTGGATTCTCAAGAAAGGAACCTGATGTACTTTAAAAATCCACTGGTAAGAGGAGTGTTCTTCACTATTCCACAAGCCCCTTCATGAAGTTGAGTGGGGAGCAAGGGTCTGTTCTCACCCAGCTCTTCCAGCGGCTGCACAAGGCTGAAGCAGGCTCAGTCTCAAGAGTTCATCCCCCTTGTCAATGGATCTCTTTGAAGCTGAGCTGTTTGGGAACTCTGGCCCTTACAGTGGCTATGAGGAAGATCTAAGTCTTTTAAAAGTAGCTGCTACTGCCTGCAGCATTTATAGCCCACCCTCTCCCAGCCACTGTGCCTGTAACCTTAGTCAAGATGAGCAATATACCAGTAACAGGCTTGGCAGCCCCAATATACTGCTGCCTAGCACTGCTCTAGCCACAAGAATATCTTTCTTTGCTCCTTCTGAATACCTGCTGACCAGCTCTGTAAGGATGGGTCCCTACCTCCTTCTTAGAATGCCCATAAGTGTGAAAAAAACTCAGGTGTGTTTCCTGCTGCCTGTCACCTTCATGCATCCCCACTTCCTGCTCCATGTCAAAGGACAGGACAGTGTCTGCTGGGAGCTGCACTGTCCACTGGCTAATGGCTGTCTTCTGCTTCCTTCTTTCTAGGATGCATTTGCACAGGGCCAGGTTTTTATTGGAAGGATGGATGAGGGATACGAAGTACGAGCTGGCTTGCCCCAGGGAGTCCGGGTGAAGAAGAGGAAACCAGCGATCACGGTGGTCACACCAATAAGAGAGTTTGTGTTTATATGTGAGAATGATAGGGAGCAGAGGGAGTGGATAGATGCCTTAAATGGAGTCATTGCCCAGCCTTTGACTAGTTAAGACTAGCGCTGAGTTCTGCTGAACTGCACTTCCTGGGCTCTATTCAGCACTGCTCTGTGGCCTCTTTCTGTTGGCAAGGATGGTGCTCAAGGCCCTGCAGTGACTCCAGTTCAAAGGGCTTCTTCCTTCAGCAGCCACAGGCACAGAAAGGGGGGCAACAGAGAAATGAGTAAGAGGGAGTGCGGATATTCAGAAATTATCTGTGCCCCTGCAGAACCTTGCTTGAAGTTCCTTCTCTCTTCCTACCCTTCTCTGCTTTTGAGCAGAGGAGGCCTTCCTAGCCTGACGTAGGGATGAATCATCCAGTGTTGTCTTATGGAAAAAAAAAAAACAAAATCAATGGAGAAACTCTGACCCCAGAAGGACCGACATGCATTTCCTTGAGGACTCCTGCAAGTGCTGTTATATCAGCTCCTCCTCTTCTTGCCTTGGGCTGATGGCAGAAGGACTCCTGTATATCCTGAAGGATGTACTGACAATCCAGCCAGCGGCATATATCCTTGGGCTGATGGCAGAAGGACTCCTGTACATCCTGAAGGATGTACCTGACAATCCAGCCAGCAGCATATATCCTGCCAGTGAATAGGATCATCTGCTGCATGAATACACAGGGACAGTGACTGAGAGGCAAAGATACCGTATCCTACCAGGAGGATGGCGGGTGTCCTGTTGAATAAATCTAAGATACCAAGTCATGTTGAAGTTACCGGCTGTCCTTCTCAGGGAGGAGCAGTGTCAGGCAGCTACACTCCACCTGGCTGCAGCTCCTGTTCAGAAAGGGACATGGTTGTTTTCAACAGAGTGGGTTTAATGTCTTTTACAGTGTTACATTTCTGGTACAGTAGAAAATAAAAGTCAAGTTTGAATTGTGGAGGATACTGTAATGGAATCACTCTAATGATGACAAGTACTCCTAGCTCCTCGCTTTCAACAGTCTCTGCTGTTTGACTTTTTTATGAGTGGCAAATCCAACATGTGAAGACCAAATTTTTCCAAAGCAATGCCACATAGTGCCCCAACAAACACATAGTGAGTACAGGATGAACATATGCTGATCTGTCTCACCTCCTAAAAAACAGCTGAAGCTTAATGAGCTTGATTATGATTGAAAGGCAGAAACTAGTTTCAGAAGTGTTATCTTCAGTGACTTCCTTGAAGACACTCAATGAATGAGGACCAGTGCTGGAAGTGGAGAGTGGGTGCGTCCCAATCAGGTACCACTTACATCCGTTCTGTGCAGGAATTGGTGAAGATTTGCATTGGCTGATACAGCGCACTGAGTATTTTCTTGCCTCAAGACCAAGTCTGAGATCTGGTTCTACCAAGCAGCCAGTCATTCAGATATTTAATTCTTCTTTTCCAGATAGCCTTAGTTTGCAAATTGAGAGGAAGTCTTGCAGACTAAGTTTCTGGTGAGGCTTCCACCTTTTGCTAGCTATTGCCAGCTAGTCTGAGATACCCAGAATAGTTCTCCTCTTCTGCAGAAATGAGGAAGTGCCAATACTTGCAGGGATTAGTGAGATTAACTTTTTTTTCCCCCCACAATAGTGCAGAAGACTTTTTTGAGTTGGATCATCATTCTGCCCGTCTCAGCCAGCTCATCACCATTCAACTCTGAGCAATCTGCAGCAGTTTTGCTTGCTGTGATATGCGCTCATAAACTTCCCTGTGTTCCCACTCTCTCTCTCCCCCCACAACCCCATTAAGTCTAGCTCATATGCTGGTTCAGTGAAGCTTTTTAACAACCTAATGCTGCAGCCCTTGAAGCAAAGCACCTTCTGACTTGTACGAGGAACAGCGTCAGTCTTCGTCTGACCTATGTTGTTATTTTGAGAGGAACTGAGTAACCCAGGATGACCTCAGAAGAGTTCAGTCCATCCAGTAGCCTAAACTTCACAGGGATGGGGCTCTGCAAGTCCCACTGCGCTGTGTTGCTTCCTTTCCCAGACGGGTTGGTAGACCAGCCATGTCAGCAAATCTGAGTTGTTACAAAACCGGGAAATTCCCTGTGAAAACGAAATCGTGCAAATAACGGCAACTTTTTTTGAGAGTCGGTAAAAGTCAAGGCCAGGTCACGGAGAGCTTTGCGTCACAGTTCATTTCTACGGTGCAACCCTCGGACCAAGTCGCCAGCAGAGGAGGAGATGGGCCAGTGCCGGCCTTGCTGACCGGCCCGGGTGGCTGACCGGCCCGGGTGGCTCCCCGG